TACAATATCTTAACCCACTTTGTACTCACGCCGGGAACCAGCTCTTGGTCAGGGTACACACTCACAGAGGAGAGATGAGATTAAAAACCTGAAACTATTTCCAAATATTAGAGAATGGGCTGCAAACACCCTTTCTTGGCAAAAAGGCCTTTGTTTTCAACCTCTAATCCTGCCCCCAGCAATGTTAGGCTTCAAATCTTTGCGGGGGCGGTGTGGGTGGGGGCGGATGGGGAAGTAAAGAAAGAAAGAAAAAGAAAATCCCTACAGAAGAAATAAGAATCAACTTTGTCTCTCAGGAGACACGTGGAGCCGGCCCCCGATCCCAGGAAAAGGACATGAGGGACTTGTTAGGTAGTGCGCACCCTGCCCTTTACTATCCCTTCCTTGAACACTGGAGCAGGAAGGCACTCCCTGAGCATAAAGCCATCTACAGACCCCGCAGGTCAACATCAGCAGAGCTCTGAGGACTGCATACATCTCTAAACCACGATCAAGAAACACCTGCTGTAAAGCCATCTACAGACCCTGCAGGTTGACATCAGCAGGGCTCTGAGGACTGCATACATCTCTAAACCACAACCAAGAAACACCTGCCATAAAGCCATATACAGACCCCACAGGTTGACATCAGCAGGGGAGTGCATACTTCTCTAAATGTGAGCAAGAAACACCTGCCCTAAAGCCATCTACAGACCCACAGGTTGACATCAGCAGGGCTCTGAGAAGCACATACATCTCTAAACTGTGAGCAAGAGACAAGTGCTTTCGGCAGCACAGAATGCGAAGTGGACTTGGATACGTCTCGGAGAGCTGGCTTCTTGTCCTTGCCACATCCAAGGCACCACACCATTTGCCATCAACCTCACCCCACTCTCCAGAGCCCTTGACCATCTCTGCCCACCTTCTCCTATGCCCGACTTCCAGCCAAGTGTAAATAGGAATTCAAGGCCCCAAGAATTTTGATACTTTGGTATCTGGGGGAGAAACGTGGGCTATGGAGACAAAGATGTAGATTTACATCCTAGCTCTGCCACTTCCAAGCGCAGAGACCTTGGAAAGTTTTCTTGCCTGTAAAAGAGTCGTTTTAACCCTGTAGCTTAGGCTGCTATGAGGAACCCAGGGTTCAGCCCTGGCGGGTGTGAGCCCATGGCTGGCGCTTCTGCGTGGCCAAGTGGGGGGCCGCAATGCCCAGCCCACTCTCTCCAGCTCTCCAGAGCATCCCCAGAGGCAAACCTTAATTTTCCTGTTCCCCAAATCCCCCCTAGGTCTTTCCTTCCCAGCCCTCCCGCAGGCTCAGGGATGTGTCTTCTCCTATCTTCTCCTTCTACCAGCGCCGAAGCATCTGGTCCCATTCCCCCTATAAACATCCTCAGGGAAGGACGCTAGAGAAATGTGTACCTGTGGGGAGAATTCAGCCTGCGTTATCTCTTTCAGTGGCATCGCATGTTTTAACATTTTAAATTCCTGAAATATTGACACCCATACAGAAAAGTGCACAAAAGATAAATATACACGTCATGAATTATTATCAACCAAAACCTGTGAAGACATTTTCCAGGGCAGGAAAAGGACTCCCCAGGTCAGCCCTGTCTACAGTCACAAAATTAACCCCCCTGCCCTCCACCGCATGCTAGCGACCATCGCCCTGTGTGTGTGGCCATCGCTCTCTGCTGTTCTTCGTGGTGGGTCACCCCTGGACGCATCCCTCAGAGCTGGAGCTGAGTTTTCTGACTCTCAGTTGTGGGAGGATGTGTGGTTGGGGTGCCTCTGTGTGGGGCTCCGTGGACTCAGGAGGACATTAGCACACAGCACCGTTGAGGAAGGCACTGGACCTTTTCATCAGTGCTCACTGCTCTATAGGACGAACCAAGCAAATCGCAGTGTTCACCTAGTCAGACACCAACGGACATAGATCTGTTTCTAGGCTTTGGTTCTTATGTGAACACTGCTGGGAATGCCCTCCCAGGTCTCCTTCGAGACAGGTGAATGCATTTCTCCTGGGTTCCCTCACGGAATGGAAGAGCTGGGATCTTAATCACCCACATGCAAAGGGGCAAACTGATGTTGCAAAGGGCAGTACCAGTTCCCACCACACCCACAGCTCTGTCCTCACCAGCAAGTTATAGAATCGTGCTTCTTCATTTCTGCCAGACCAGTGGGTGTGGAGGGGAGTTGCACTGTGACTTTGTGACTTTAATTTGTAGTTCCCTGGGACTGAAGATCCTATGCACCTTTTCCTGCCTTTACTGGTCATTAGGATTTTTTCCTTTATAAATAAAATGCCACCTGCTCAAGACTTTTGGCCATTTTTCTGCTGGGTTGTCTCATTATATTATTTGATTAATAGGAATTTATGGATTAATAGGAATTTAGGTATTTTGCATTCATGGCTTTAAGAATACATAATTATGAAATAAAGGAATCCATTTCCTATTAAAGATCATTCTGAGACAATTGAAGAGCTGGGAGGCTTTGGGGCAAGGGCTTTCTCCACTCTCCAGGAATCATGCCAGTCAGTGGACCTCTGTTTCCCTCCACTGTGGCTGGCCTCAAGGTACGTTTGCATGTATTATTCATGAACACACAAACATGCACTTTCCGAAAAACAGCTCCTATCTACTGCTCATTTTAAATCTCGTTGTCTGATTTTCAAATTTTTATAGAGTCTACTTCTATGGTAACCTCGGTATAAACTTGAGGGCAAAAAACATTTATTAAATACTGAAATTTACCCAATTTTAGTAAACTTGGTGAAAAGTACTCCCGCCACATACAGACAGTGGATGCTGCAGATTAGCCGTTCTGTGTATGTGCTGACTTCTCCGTGAACCCCCGAGGGTGTGCCCAGAGGGTCAGCTCCCTGGTGCCTACAGATCAAGACGCTGCCCAGCTGTGGTCCGCGCTATTGACCACGATCTCACAGGTGATGCCCACTTTTCTGCTTCTCTGCATCATTGGTGAGGGCTGTGTTAACTTCCAGGAAGAAGTTAAATTGCAGTATGCAAACACTGATGATAAATCCTTTGTGTTTGGGGGGTAAGTATACCCAACACCTCTCTCCCCCATAATTCTCCCTTCAATTTCAAAATTCTCTCCATAATTTGCCATGACTCCATAAAGCTTCCAAAGTGACCACCACACGACACTGGCTCCCCCGTGCCCACATGTGTGCGGAGGGGAAGCCTGGAACGCAGCTGAGGATTAAGAGAGTTTTTCCATAACTCTGTAGACCTGTGGAATATACTAGTTGCACCGATCAGGTGAACCAGGGGTAGAACGACGCTGGCTATGCCAGGTCCAAGGGTGCAGCCAGCGGAACCCTGCCCCGACGTGGAAACATTGCCCCCTCCTAGACAGCATCATCTCCCCAGGGAAACTGCCCCTCAGCGTTGAAGCTTTTCATCTCACATGCCTGGCTTCCTGCCCAGCGCATGTGCTACCCAATAAACACCAGACTTCTATATACAAAGGCCCATCTACTCTCTTCCCCAGTCCATTCCTTGGACCAAACATTCCACATAGGCAGTTAAAACAAAAGGAATATTTCTATACAGTGAAAGGTTACTGAGACCTAGTTGGAAGCAACAACGTGAGTAAACGGTACACTGAAGCCACTATTTGCAGATTGTACAAAATTCAGCCAATTTTGCACATGTTTTCTAAGAAAGTTATTTGGGACCCTCCTTAATTATCAGGTGATATCACTAAAACAACATAAATAGATGCCCCTACCCCCTACTGCTTTCTCCTTTGTAAAACAAGGCTCACCTCAAAATGCTGCTTGTGGATGAAGGAAATAGGACATGCAAGTGTCTCTCAAAGTGAAAGAGGGACACGCACAGACCCAGTTAATCTTGGTGATGTTTTTCTGTTTCATTTCCTCCATGAGTTTGCAACAGAACTGTTAGATATACATGTTAGCTCAACTAAAGATATATTTCCAGCACTATTTAGGCTCTGGAGAAGAAGTTTTTACAAATAAACATATTTTAATTCCACATTGTGCATCCCCATGGCCAGTCACTGGAAACATTAGACCTTATGTCATTGCTGACTGTGGACACCTTCATTCTCATGGAACCCACAGAGGTCATGAGTTCTGGCCAGGGCCACGGCTCAGGAAGCTTGAAAAATATCTGAATAACAAACAGAATTCCAGATTAAAAAATACCTGTCCCTTAAATAGGAAAAAAATCTAAAGGTAAACTCTAAACGTAAATGTTTCAAGATTGTACATGAAAAACAGGGAGAGACATTTTGTAGTTTATTATTGCTATATAATGATGTGTTTTGACTGTCTTAACACATATGATTCAGGAATCTGGAGGGCTAGATCACAGCATTTCTTCGTAGATGGTCTGAAAAGTCTGCCCCACAGATTAATCAAACTTGGGCTGCAGATTATTTTCAAATAAAAATGATATAAATCATTTACAGCATGGTTGGCAAAAAAAAAAAAGAACTAATGGGAAAGAGAATATTTTACAGATTTTTAAACTCCTAATTTTATTACTTTTAGTACATCAAACCCTCTTACGAGTAATAAAATAATACAAACCATTTTGAAATTGACTTATGAAGAAAGAACCATTTTTCTTTGAAAACACGTACATACAAAACTAGCAATTTTCACTTTTTTGGCCAAAGAAAACATTTGGTCATTTCCACTGGTGACTCCAAGTCCTTGTGGTTATTTTAAACAATTAAGGGACCTGAATCATCATAACCCATCATGATCAGATGCAGGGCTGTCTTCCTTTAGCAAGCTGACCTCCAGTCACACGCATACATTCACATAGCTTCGCCCTTCCCCTCTTCAAAACAACGGCTCCCTAAAACGTAGGCTTTGTTAGTGAGGAGATCTATTCCCACTGTGGCTCACGATGTCACCCAAACTGGATTTCCCTTTGAATTATAAGTGAACCCAGGGAAGATGATTAGAAGACACGGCAAACCAATTCCCTTAAAGCCTTCCACTTGGAAAGGCACGTCAGACCTACCCGGGCACCGGGGCGTCTTGTGGGCCACGGCGGTGCCGCTGATGGGCCTCCCGTTGGGCGTGACGCACCAGCAGTATCCCGTGTAGCTGTGACACTGGACCTGCGAGAGAGCACAGGACAGGTGAGCCCTCCTGGGCCCGCAGCACAGCGCCTCACGGCTGCGAGGCCCACTCTGCTTTCTGCGGCACTGGCTCAGGCAGGGGTCGTGGGATACCCAGAGCTACTTCTGTGGCTGCATTTGAGTCCTTGGTAAAGAAAGTGTGCAAGTCTTCACCCCAGGGTTTTAAAGACAAAAGGGGCCCAAATCAGCACTTTACTGACTGCTAGTGTGTGCTGGACACATTACCTGTGAAGTCACTAATCCTCACCACCTTCCAGATGGAGCCCCAGCCCTTATCTTATGAATGGGGAAACTGAGGCCCGGGAAGGTCAGGAGCTCTCCACTGCAGAGCCAGGAGAGCAACCTCGGCCTCTTTAGTGTTCACTCTGCAGCCTGCATCGCCCACTCCCCTTGCAACCACAGTCAGAGCAGCCAGTTCCTTCAGCTCCAGTTCCTCTCTCTCTCTTTCTGTCTCTCTCTTGTTCTCTCCCTCATCGTCTCTCAAAGGCCAAACGATGATGTAAACACACAGAACTCACATCATCACCCAATGGGCCACAGGCATGTCCAAGTGCAGAGCCCATGCTGTTTTTCCTGCCCCTGTGTGGGTTAGCATTGCATGTTAGTACTTTGTTTCTCCTTAATAAGGAATAACAGCACTGACACACTCAGAACGGAGAGCTGGGTGACTCTCTCAACAGTGCCTTTGGCTGACAACAGGAATTTGACTTGGCTCAGCTCCATGTCTGTGGGCCCGTCAGGTTGGAATGAATGATCCCGGAGCTCACTCTTGGCACAGACACGACTTTTAGTGTGTGCTCCCCGTAATTAAAATCAAACTAAAATTAAATTGTAAGCTGCAAGCCAGGTTAGCATGGTCTAATTGGCCTCACTAAGGAAGCTTCCTGAGCTAAACTCATAGTAATGAAAGTGTGAATGACAGCAGCAATGATATAAATGCCTGCACCAACTAAGAAATAAACACACACTCCATTTATGTGTCTATTTATGTCAAGTAGGCTCATCATGAATTAACTTCTAAAATGCAGAAGGCTGATTTCCCCAGAGAACAAACCTGCTGCTTCTTCTGTTTGGCTCCCCCTCACCTGCCTTCTCCCCACACCCACTCCATATGTCTCTCCCTAATTGCCCAGGTGCAGAACCTCCCAAGCAAGGCTGGTAACCTGACTGTAGGTGCCGTCGTCATTGCACTCAGGAATGAACACTTGCTGAAACTCCTTCCGGGCTTGCTCCTGGGTATACTTCCTTTCGGCCACACACCTGGACACGTCTGTAGGGAAGAACAGGGCAGAGGAGCGGTTATGCAATGGGAAGAAGATGGAACAGATAGGAACGTTGAAAAATGCGAAGGCATGAGTCAGGCAGGAGTGCTGAGGATCTGGAGGCTGGAAGGGGCTTCGCAGGCAGCTCAGCTCTCAGCAAAGGGAGCCCCAGAAGAAGGGCAGATGCCTGTCACATGCCGTCCTGGTCCTATCTGATGCAAGGCCCAGGGGCGGGAAGGGCAGGACCATTCTCCACACTGAGTGAGTAAGAACACTGAGGCCCAGGAAGGCCTCATAGCTTATCCCTGGGGAACAGGTGGCCCCTGCTTTCTGAAAATGGGGAAATGCCAGCTGTCCGGTGGGACGCAGGCAGGCTGTCCTCAGATTTAAGGACGTCCACCTGAACACACCAGGATCAAGTCCAGATGCAGAGGGTGGGCAGGGCTAGATGTCACCGTTAAAAACAGACCAAAGGGAACTGACTGAGGGGTGGGGGTCTTAGGATGCACGGGGTGGGACTTCCAACCATAGCTGCAGCCCAGGGCACCATCCCACTGAGACCAGCCTGAGAGGAGAACTTGGCTCGTCCCTTTTCTGTTTCCCGTCCTGCCTCTTCCACCTTCACATGGAAATCCAACCGTCACGTGGATAAAAGGGTTGGGTTTTCTGAGAAAGCCTCGTCCTCTGCCCCAGATGCTCCACATCCCACCGTCCCAACAACACTGAGATTTCACAGAAGGTGCAATGTCGCTGCTACTACTTAAGAAGACACCCCAAGGAGAGCAAAACTGGAAAAATCTTTAGACTTCCAGAGACTTGAAAAGCATTAATGCAGGATCCGTGTGTGCCACGAACAGGCCTTGTTTCTCGCTAACCTGCACAATCAGGGCCAGGTTAAGACACGTGAGGACCACAAAGTCAGCTGCTTACTGAAGCTACTCTCAGCCTTCCAGCTCAGGGAGTAAAAGCTGTGAGCCCAGCATCAACCAGGCCCGCCTTTTGGTGCCCCCAGGGGGAAAAGGCTTGTCCTAAGAACAGCCTCCCACCACAGGAGAAGACGCCATGATGGCTGCCATGGGCCACCTGCCCCAGAAGCAGATCCTAAGAACAGCCTCCCACCACAGGAGAAGACGCCATGATGGCTGCCATGGGCCACCTGCCCCGGAAGCAGATCCTAAGAACAGCCTCCCACCACAGGAGAAGACACCATGATGGCTGCCATGGGCCACCTGCCCCGGAAGCAGATCCTAAGAACAGCCTCCCACCACAGGAGAAGATGCCATGTTGGCTGCCATGGGCTGCCTGCCCCTGAAGCAGAACACACATGCATGCTTTACTTCTTGGAATCATCACACAATATAGCTCATTTGAATTTTAAAACTTGAAAAAATGGCTTTCCTTTTTTAAAAGTATTTCCAGATTTAAATCACAAGTGCCTACATCTTGAGAGAGCACAAAGGCCCTCTCAACTCCGAGGACGCTTCTTCAAATGTTGTTCTTTCCGTCTTCAGATGGTGACTTTTTGACTCCCTAGTGGTTAAAGTTCTGGCTATGGCAAAATGCGATCTGATTACCAGCCCTGGGCTCCACCCATCACAGTGGACTCCTACAGGCTCTGCCTCTAACAAAGCTCCAGGGCCTTTGTGTGACTCCTCTCTGGCTTTTGCAGAACCACCAGCCACATGCTGCATGGAGCATTAAGGGCCTACACATCTGAGCAAACGCTCCTCCATCCATCCCAGCTTCGTGCCTTCAGCCTTATTCTAAAGTCTGGCCTGGCCAGCCAGCACTCAGCAACATGTGGTTTTAATGCAGTCTGTGTTTTAGCTGAGGAGAAATCACTGCTTTGCTGGACTTCTGTCCTCATTTTTTAGTATAACCTGTGGTTTTGACTGTCTAAAAAGGAAAAGTGATATGAGTTCCAGCTTGCGAGGTCTCCATGAGGTACAGATGGGGCTATAAATTAGTTCTAATATTTGAGCCATCATGGAACATGCCAAGAAAGCTAAGTTTTCCAAACTCCTTGTGGGCTCCATTCTTGGCGTGGACTTCTTTTAAAGACTTCACATTTGCCACTGGTCAGATAGTTCTGAAATCTGCAGCTCTTGGATTTAATAGAATATTAAATGCCAAGTTTATGTCTAGCCTATGGCAGACTATTTAGTCATAGGAAACAATTAAGACTTAGCATGAAATTACAGGGCCCACATAAATCATCACTCAAAATAAACCTGCAGTCATCTTACGAAGTAAAACTGCTACAGGGTTGCGGCTTATTCCACAGATTTGCTATTCCTTATTCTGGATATCTCATGTTAAATCAGGTTCAAGATCTTTACTACCGAGAAGAGCCCGAATAGCATCTGATAAGGTCCATTCTATCGAGAGGCACACAATCGCCAGGGAATGAGCACTCAGAAATAGTCATGGCCCCCGTGTGTTCTCAATATCACTCTAAGCCAATATATGCTTGATACAGACACATCTTAGACTGAATTAAATGCCCCTCTTTGTAAACATCAAAATATTAAACACACCCTCAACATTATGCTGCTTCCAACTTTCCAACTTTTTAATCGCTTTGAAAGAATGGAATAGGGTGCTTCAACACTGTCCCCTGGAAACCTTATTTACAGATGATGATAAATGTCTCACCTTAATGTATTTTTACTCTGTATGATTCTTTGCTGAGTTAAAAATTAAGCCGAGCCCTATCTGTGTAATGGCCTTGTTGAGATTCCACTCTGAACACTTTATGTTTAATGGTTTGATTATTAAATCCGTAGAACATAAGCAACATAATTTTTTAAATTATTGTATGACGGCTGGGCACGGTGGCTCACGCCTGTAATCCCAAACCTTTGGGAGGCTGAGGTGGGTGCATCACGAGGCCAGGAGACCAAGACCATCCTGGCTAATATGGTGAAACTCCGTCTGTACTAAAAATACAAAAAAAAAGAAAAAAAAATTAGCCGGGCGTGGTGGCAGGCGCCTGTGTTCCCAGCTACTTGGGAGCCTGAAGAAGGAGAATCGCTTGAACCCAGGAGGCGGAGGTTGCAGTGAGCCGAGATCGTGCCACTGCCCTCCAGCCTGGGTTACAGAGCAAGACTCTGTCTCAAAAAAAAAGAATTACTGTACAACTACACATAACATAAAATTTACCATTTTATCCATTTTAAAGTGAACAATTCAGTGGCATTTAGCACATTCACAGTGTTGGGCAACCACCATCTCGGCCTAGTTCCAGAACATTCTCCTCATTCCCAAAAGAAAGCTCTGTGCCTCTTAAGCTGCCGTTTCCCATTTCCGCCTCACCGCAACCCCTAGAACTATCCATCTACCTCCTGTCTCTACAAATTTGCCTATTCTGGGCATTTCCTGCCAATGTAATCACACACGAGGTATCCTTCTGTGTCTGGCTTCCTTCACTTGGCATGATGATTTCAAGGTTCATGTACGTAAGTTCACGTATGTCTACACCAGAGATGGTGCATCAATGTAGTCATACACGAGGTATCCTTCTGTGTCTGGCTTCCCTGTTGTCAAGGCTTATGTATGTTACAGCATGTTTCAGAGCTATGTTCCTTTTTATGGCTGAACAATATTCTATTGTAGAGATGGACCATATTTTGTTTATTCATTCACTCATGGATGAACACTTAGGATCTTTTGGCTATTGTAAATAATGCTGTTATAAACATTCAGATATAAATTTTTGTTTGAATGCTTGTTTTCAAGTCTTTTGGGTAGAAAGTAGAAATGATGGTTCACATGGCAGTTCTGCATTTAACTTACGGAGGGAGTGCCTGCCGTCTGCCACAGTGCTAAACCGTTGTATGTCCAGCCAACAGAGACAAGTGTTTCCATTCCCCTATCCACCCAGAATTTATTTTGTCTTTTTTAAACTGATGTAACCACCTGACTGGGATGAAATGGTTTCATAGTACTTTGGCTCATAGTATTATATTACTATAATAAATATCTACCTAAAAAAAAAAAAACTCAGCTGGAAATTATAATATTAATACTTTAATTAAATAAAATTGTTAATCTAATTGAAGAATGTAGTCTCTTTTTACTAGACCAAAGAAAAACTTTCTGATGTGAATTCTGTCATATATTTTTAGAAAATTTTTCCTCCTACCTGCAGAGCCGGGACGTTATAAATAAAGAATTCATCGTTGCTTAGCAAGGCATCACTAACAACAGGTTTTGTTTTGTTTTAGAGACAGCGTCTCTGTCAGCTAGGCTGGAGTGCAGTGGTGCCATCACAGCTCACTGCAGCCTCAACCTTCTGAGCTCAAGCAATCCTCTCACCTCAGCCTCCCCAGTAGCTGGGAAGAGAGGCACCACCCTAATTGGCTAATTTTTAAATTTTTGTAGAGATGGGGTCTTGATTTGTTGCCCAGGCTTCTTTTGAACTCCTGGTGTCAAGCAATCCTCCCACCTCCCAGAATGCTGGGATTATAGGCATGAGCCCCCACGCCTAGCCCTAACAGAAATATTTTGATGAATTTTTGGCTAATGGTAGTTAATTGTGGGAGCAATTTATTTCTACCTGTTTGATGATATTTTCTCTCTCAGTTACAAAATAAAATTGGCTACAATCAGATCGCAAGCTTGTTTATGTATCAAGATATGTCATGGAGACCGGGCGCAGTGGCTCACGCCTGTAATCTCAACACCTTGGGAGGCCAAGGCGGGTGGATCACCTGAGGTCAGGAGTTCGAGACCAGCCTGGCCATCATGGTGAAACCCCGTCTCTACTAAAAATGCAAAGATTAGCCAGGCTTGGTGGCAAGCACCTGTAATCCCAGCTATTCAGGAAGCTGAGGCAGGAGAATCACTTTAACCTGGGAGGTGGAGGTTGCAGTGAGCTGAGATCACACCCCCATACTCCAGCCTGGGTGACAGAGTGAGGCTCTGTCTCAAAAGAAAAAAAAAAAGATATGTTATGGAAACCGTTAAGTGTGATGCTCACTACAAAGTAGAAATGAATAGCAGTGTT